ATCTGTCTGGTGGTAAAACAAGTAGCAGCAGTGACTCTCTGTACTGTGTCAGTTAGGGAAATAGCACCAAAGTTAATTTTGCAAAACAGCTACTAGGGCTGAAAGGACCCAGACTGATGGGCACTGAGTCCTTCTGGATCTTTACAAGAGCAAAGCATGTGAAAAATCTGACTTTGAGTGTGTTTACTGAGGGATTAAAAAACACATCACCCCTTATAATCACTTGGAAGAGTTAAGTAAATAAGGACATGAACCAAAAAGAAGACGGAAATTCTGCCCCTTTAAGAAACAGGACTAACCCATCTCAGGTGGATTAAAAACAAGGTAATTGAAATGATGTCTTTATAGGATCATGGGAAAATTGCCTGAAATATTTCAGGCACTATAATGAAGCCTTAGATGCTATTTCAACTAAGGGGAATTAGGAAGTGTTACTGTGAGAACCATGGACTAAGTGATCTTTCCAGGTACTTTACATGGGCGGAAGCTGCTTGTTTTGTTTAAGGGAAGCGTTTCTGTAGCAGTTGTTTCTGGGCTGATAGGTATTAGTAAATTCTTATGTTGATAACTTGCTTGTGTATGGAAAGCTCTATTTATGGCAGGTATTTCTGGGGAAGGAAACAAGTAATTACTGCAGATGTCCCTGTGGTGTTGTGATAGGTCCTTCAAAGAAAAAGGAGAAAAATGTAAGTAGTGTAGAAATACTACTTTTAATGTGTATGGATTTTTTCAGTTGTAGCTAGGAAAAAAGAAATACTGCTGATTTTGTTCCTTCAAGGGAATAACACCTCCTTTTCTATTTAATTGGAGGCTCAAATTACAAAGAGAAATAAATAAACTGAAGGGTGTCCTGCTCCTTCAGGCAACTGCATTCAAGGTGGGCTTTATTTGGTGCACTGGCAGAGAAGATTGTGCTTAGGAATGAAAGAATAGGGTAAGGCTGATTGAAAGGATGCAAACTCCTTAAGGGCATAGTGATAACATGCCTTTTTGTTGTTGTTTCCCTGCTAAATGTATTTAGAATGAAAACCAATGCAGAGGATCTAATGTCTCTATGTTGCTCAGGCTTTTTTGCAGAGAACACAGAGAAACTGTGATCATCCTCCTTACACTCAGAATTAAAGCAGGAGAAACCTGATGCTGATAAACAAGAAAACAAAATATTCCCACTGCATAAGGCTGAGAAATTGAATTTATTAACTATTGGCAATATCAGGCCAGATCCTGACTACACCATCATTTATTAAATCCTCCTGCTTTTTACTGCTCTATGACTAGAAATAGGCCCAAGTGCTCTATGGTTTCAGTGCCCACAGTTGTGGGGTTGTTTTTTTTAATCATGAGGTTATACTTAGATGCCCATTGATGTTGTTTTTCATCCCGAGTGCTTTTGGGAGGGTGAACAGCTGATCGTTACACTGAGTTTGCTTGTACCCATGAGCACACTTAACCTAGAGCAGCAAATAGTTATTGTATTGCATTTTGTTTTGTGCCTGTGGGCACACTTAAGTCAATATACATGATGGCTAGTACCACGTATTGCATTTGTCGGCACCCATGGGCACTCTGAATTGCCAGTGTGAGGGAGTCGGTGAATTAACTAGCTCTATGCCCACTGGTGTAGTTACTTCACGAGCAATACTACTGTTAATTGCTTTAACTTAAATCTAATGATAATGCAAAGTAACAGAAGGAAAGAGCTGCAAGAATCCCAGTTCTTACAGAAAATGGGTAGTAGCATTTGTTTAATTCCAAGCTTGTTTGTTGCCAAAACTGAGGCACAAGCTCTTGGGGCAGGAGTCTCTGCTGTGAATAATTGCCCTTCTTTCCCTGTCTGTTTTACAGCCGTGGGGCTGCATCAAGCTCACTGCTCTCTCCAAGCTTTTACCTGCATGAAATCTAGTTCAGGGTTGATGCTTACTCTGCTCATTAGTGAAATTACCACCAGATGCTTTGTTAGATAGAGGTCACTCTGGCTGAATGCCATGACAACCTCTTCAAATAGCGTGATTGCTAAACTATAGCTTTGACTCGGAATGGTGCAGTAGGTAATGTTGACACGCTGCAATTACCGCTCGGTCCTCAAAGCGTGTTCAAACAACGCTGACTGCCTCAGTGCTGACTTGGCAGCACCAGAACTGGGTTTGGGATGTATACTGTGGATGACTAGAAAATGTAGGAATTTCAGGAGAACGCCTACACAGAGCATTAGCTTATCTCGTTAGCCTACGTCTAGTCAGGTCTCTCAGAACTCTGTTGAAAAATGGTAATTAAATGATAAGGCTTAATCTAAAGTTGCATAGATGGGCTCGGTTTCAGTGGTGCTGGGAGCCAGTTTTTGCAACTGAAGAAGTCTTAAGTGGGAGTTTTAGATACTCAGCAGAATACATTAATGCAAGGGACTGGATTAGCCTTTCCTAGCTGTAGGGTCATCTCTCCTTACTAGTAAGACTTATTTTTAACTTTTTAGGAGACTGGTGCAAGGAAGGTCAAGCTAGACAGGCACTGGGAACACGGTGCATGTGTGGACTGCATGAGTGTCCCAGAGGAACAGGCCAGGAGAAAGGAGGGGGAGAAGGTAGAATTCTTCTCCTTGCAATAGCGTGGTACATCCACTGGTTCAGCCACAGAGCTGAGCTGGGCAGAGAAAGCTCTGCAGTGCACTCCTCTGTGTGATGATGGCAGGCAGGACTTCCCAGCTCTGCTAATGACAACCCTGTGTGGCTTCCTGTTCATGTGCATCTCGTAATGAAAACTGATTGTGTTACAGATGTCTCTGGTGCGACTTGCAACTAATGTGACTGTGACTGATGGACCAGATAAGCTTATTATTAAAGCATCAAAGTAGAATGACTTGGAGATGTGGAATGGCAACTATCCAGATACAAAATGATGGATTAAAACTGTAAAACAGCTGTTAACTTAGAGCTTTATAGTATTACCACTGCAAAATAAAAACATAGTGTTTATATAGAAGGTTATGCTACTGGGAGCAAATTATTAACTTTATAAAAGGAACCAGACCAGGTGGAAAATACCATGTTCCTGCCACCATTGTTCTCCTCTTCCACGTGGTTTTTTGCACACAGACTTGTGTGAGGGACACGAGCAGAGAGCTCGGCACAGAGCCTGGCTAACAGTCCTTCTGTGACTCCAGCTTAGGAAAACATATGGAGATGGCTCTTCTGTGTATATATTAAATTTTAAGAGTCAGAAAAGTGGCAGAAACAAAACATGAAGTGTTCCTTAGCCATCCTGGCTTTGGAGTTCAGTTTATAATAATGTATAATGAGATTTAACCATTAAGTCTTTCCATTAAGGGGAGATTGGGTGTAGAGAGGATTAAGCCATGTTAGAGCAAACACTAGGTATTAGAGCACAGGGATAGAACTACAAGCTTTTTTAACTTCTAGCAATCCTATAAATTTTTTTTTATACAAGATTGGAGCAGGGCAGTGAATGGGGGAAGAGAAGCAAAAAAGAAACTAAGCCCAAACATCTGGAAGAATTAATGAAGATGTCAGTTCTGAGCGGTGAAGTGGCTGTTGGGGAACGGGGGGAGGGCGTCGGGCTGAGGCGCTAAATACGATGTACAGACCTGAGCTGCCATGAAACTGCCTGTGTCACTCACCCGGGTTACTCTGCTTCTTCCCAAGATCCCCGGGGAATGCCTGCAGGAGATCTGCAGACGGAGGCACGTGGGATCAACCCTTCCGACCAGGCACAGGGCGATGCTCTTCAAGTGGGAACATGCCCCAGCCGGTATCGCTCATTCCTGTTTTTTGGGGAGAGGGTTTGGCTCCTGCGCTAACGCCCCGGGTACTCCTCGGCACGGGCACTTCAGCGATTGCCGTGCTGGGCATCGCGGCCGTTATCACCCCTGGTGAGAAGGGATCACAGAGTGTCTCCTCCTGCCTAAGAGCTCTGGGTGCACCTCGGGTCATTCATGGCTGCGTTCCCCCTGTGATGGAGACCCCTCACCCTCCCTGAACAGGCTGCGCCAGGGGCTGGGACTCGCCAGGGGTGTGTGCGCGGGGGGACTCGTGTTTGGTTCTAACCTGGTCTTTAGTGTGGCCGCAAATGCAGTGCGCTCCTTCGTGTCCCTGTGGCAGCGGGGAGGGGACAGAGAGGGCCGGCCGGGGACTCCCGCACGCCGGGGGGTTCCCCGCTCTCCCCGCAGGCCCCGGGTCAGAGCTCTCCCGGGGAGCTGGCGGGACCCAGAGCCCTGACCGGCCTCCCAGACTCACCCGGGAGCCGCCGGTGCGGTCGTGGGGTCCTTTACCAGCTACCGCCGTTACCTTGAGCGACGGCCGCTACCGGGAAAGCGGGTCCTTACCCCGCAGCGCGGCTCTGGGTCTCTGCCGGGAACCGCCGTCATTGACCGGGAACAGCCGCCCGTTACGGGGGCTCGGGCCAGGCCCGGGCGGGACCTCCCGTCCCCACGTGTGTGTGTGTGTGTGCGGGGAATCCCGCCCCGCGCCCCCGGGGAGCGCCCGCTCCGCCCGCACCGGAACCGCCCCGCCACCGCCCCTTCCCGGCAGCCCCCGCGCTCGCCGCGCGCTTGGCGCAGGCGCGGGCAGGGCCGCACCAC